GAACTAGGAACAGGACAGAAGTAGAGCGCCCTCTAGGTGTACTGGGCGTGACAGAGTGAGGTAAATACACTACAGTATATAAGATACCATACATAAAGTTGTGTGCAAAAATGTAGATCTTTCTATGTTTCAGTGAATTTCTAAGCGAAAAGAAGTTTCACTTAAACTTAAACATGACATCTTTTTGCAAATGTTAACACACAATTAAAATTTATTTGCTGGTTATAACAGATTGAGAAAAAATATAAAAAGGGAATGTGGCATGTACTAAATTTTGAGCAGCTTTCCAATTGATTTATTATTACTTTTTTAATTTGTGTTAGTACAAAGGTGGTTATAGTATTATGCCCCCAGTTCGTTAGAGACCTGACACAGTGCATAATGTCATTTTCTTGCACGTACCACTGGATTAACTAAGGCAGAGGCAATGATAAAATAGTTCTTTAAAAAAAGGAGTATGACATTTAGCTTTTTTTAAATCACACTTGCTCCATGTGAAATGCAGAATGGACTTTAAGGTTCTCCTACACTCAGGACTTGCTGTTAAGTAGAGTCCATCTCTTAATAGACCTGCTGAATCAGGCCTTTATGAACTGCTGAAGACCAGGCTCCCCTCTCCTCTCAATTGGTGGTTCATTCCCCCTCCTCCTGTGCAGCCCTTCATCTGAGGAACTCATTGCCCAAATCCATTTAGAGACTCAGAGCTTGTTGATTTTGTTCAAAATTTTGCTAATTAATTTAATGAAGGCCTACCTTTTTACGAAAACGATTAGTGTGTAATTTAGTCTTGCTCTTACTCACGCTAAATTAGTTTGCTGTTCTTGTCTTTTTACTTGTGTTCGATGTTGCAATGCTTTGCGTTTTAACATGCGCTCATAAAATGATTAGATGTGCTGAAGGAGTCATACTTCTAACTACTGTGTATTAATCATGTGCCGCAGTAACACTTAATTGTGTTTCTATGTGCATCACAGGGATATGAGCCTAATAGGAGCATCACTCAAGAGGCTGAAAAACTCTCCAAACAGGTTTTTGTTTATTGTTTGTTTGTGTGATAGGCGATTGATTTTCCTGCCTCAGCAGAGCCAAGCAAACCCCCCACGTTCATTCATTTTATCCAAAGGGGGAATTGTATTGATGTCATACTGGAATGAAAGTTTCTGTTAAAATGCTTTAAATTATGAATGGTGTGGATGAACCTGATCAAACCTAAATCATAGTGTTATTTACCCTTTTTCTAATGTTTCCCTTTTGCAATAACATAAAAATACATTCCCTAAATGATAAACTAGTTACTGTTGGGGAAACACGTTCAGCTGTTTCATTGGACTGAGGCAAGGGACCGTGACAAAGACACAGGCAAGTGACAAAATGAATGATGCATTCAGAGCTCTGACATTAGACTCTTCCATGCCACTCTGAAGTTCAGAACACCTTCTCTCATCAGGTTAATAATGGAATAGTGTAAAGAAAGACACTCGATGAAATGCATTTTGTTTGACTGGGTACCAAGACAGATCTAGCTGAGAACTAATGAACCATTAGATATAAAATTGATTTTATAGAGAGCTTCTGAGATCAATGAATAAGACAACAAGTCAGTAACCTCATTACATGTTTCCTATATCAATCAGTGTGGGACCAAATTCCTCCTGACTCATGATCCACTGGAAGCTGCTCGTGGGAGTAATGTGTTGGTAACCGATACATGGATAAGTATGGGCCAGGAAGAGGAAAAGAAAAAGAGGCTGCAGGATTTCCATGGTTACCAAATCACCATGCAGGTACAGTAAACACTGAGCTTGAGCAATCCGTGCCAGAATTTCATTGACCTGGTATTAATAGAGAAGTCTTTTTTGGTAAAATGGAGTTACTGTTGCCAGAGTTTGTTAAGCAAAAGTGCAGCAAGCTATAGCTGTACAAAGGCATTTGTTGCATATAATTAAATGTCACATTTCTCTATGGAATTTGCCTGAATGTAGCAGTGTGCTGTAAAATGAAAACGGATGGTGAAAGCGTTCATCACAATATTATCCTACATAATCCTTTTCCTGCTGAACCATTAAAACTAATTCTGGATGTTTAAAATATATTTTGACTGAAAACTAACCTTCTGCGGAACAAACACAGCAGCAACGCGTCTCTTTTCTGGGAAGTGTGTCATGGTGGTTTTTGTAAAGCGAGACCAGAGCAGGGGGACTGGTACACATGTCCTCTGTCTCCAGACAGGATGTGTGGCGGCTCCGGACTGGACATTCCTGCACTGCCTGCCCCGCAAACCGGAGGAGGTGGACGACCAGGTTTTCTACTCATCCCGTTCCCTCGTCTTCCCAGAGGCGGAGAACAGGAAGTGGACTGTCATGGTATGGTAGTGCCTTTTAATATGTCAGCGCAGTTAGGTGACAGTTTGCATTCCTCGCTTTCCATTTTTCTGTGCCATGGTGGAATCCTCATGAACATTTCTTCTTACTTCACACAGCTGGAAAAAAAACAGCTTTATCTGATGGTACACAACCGAATACAACACGATTGTCATTGCTGTGATTTTCCCCTCTTTTTAGAATATGGTCCCGTTTGACTTACGACTGGTAAGCCTCAACAGTAACAACAACAACAACAACAACAACAGTACCACCTGTAATAAACACGCTATAGTGCCAGGTTTGTTTTCACTGGTCTTTTCTGTAAAGAATGGCCGATCCAAAGGATGAGGCAGTATGATAATAAATCGCACAAGATGGATTTGACAGGATGAGTGAAATGTTTGTAGCCTTTGGGATATTTTGGGCTGCATGTTCAAAATACTTAGGCTCTCAAAGCATTCTTCAGTAATGAACTGGTTTGGTTTGCCTGTCTGTGTCAACATCTTACAATGCTGTGTAAATGACAAGACATTGTCTGGCTGTGGCAGAACTCTGACAGGGTAGGACCTCCTGCCTAAACACAAACACACATTTCTGTTTCCCTAGTGATAAGTCACCTGGAGAAAGGTTACACATCAGGACTTCATCACTTAAAAGCTAGTTTCTGGCACTGAATAGCATCTTGAAAGTTCGTTTTGCTCTCAAGGCCAAGAGTGAAAGGGATGAATGTAATATCATTGCAAGATACTGAACTTTTAGCTGATTTTAAAACATCCAAGGACAGCACACTGGTTGGACCTTTTAAAAGTTACTATTTGTGAATATAAAATTAAGTGTGTTCTTCTCCGTGTTTCCCACTTTTTTTCCTTTCTGTTTCACTGTTTTTCTACTTTCCCTATCCTGGATTCTCATGTATGGTCATGCAACAGCTCAGAAATGGAGAACTGGTGTAGTGTTTTACTGCAGATAGCATCAGAATAGTAAAGCCACCATCTTTGCAATCTTCAGTGAATTGGACTGGTATGCCTGAGGTTGAATAAGTCACAACTGAAGATTTTGTGTTTTTTTTAAGTTAAGATGGTGTGCACTGTACATTTAAATACCACACAATATCAAAATCAACTGCAGGAGTGGCCATCTCAATTTATGTTCAGTTAAAGATATACTGTAATATCAACCTCAAAATTATTTGAATTATACAGAATCTGGCATGAGTAGAGTTTGTGTGTAGCAGAATCGTGACTAGTAGAGTAATGAGATTAATTTTCTAATTGGACAAACTCCATGCCGAAGATAAAATGTCATCGTTGTATCCTATCCAACCCTCTCTGTGCCAGATTGATTGCACATCTTTTTTTTTTATTGTGATTTTGTCCCCTATGAGAGTCTCCCCGACATGTCTAGGATTTACATAACAACCGAATCTTCTGAACCAGAAAAAAAAATCATTGGTTTTTCAGATCAAACCAATAGTACAGAGAAAAATAAGACTGTGTTACAGTATGTTAGTGCGAGCATCTTTTCATTGTCTCTGTAGCCTATTCAGAAGATGGCATTCACAAAACTGCCATCTTTTTTTTAAGTCTTTAAAAACACCTTCTGCTTGGTTCCGCACCCTGATCAGTGTCAATGTGTGTGGTAGTGATAAGATGGCAAGGTGTGCGTTTGTAAGGCTGTTCTAATGAATGTCTTGTGAGCATAAAAAAGGCAAGAGACTGCAGGCCATCTGTGTAAGATACAGTGGCTGCACATACAGTATGTCTGAACAAAATAACAATCTGATTTTGTTTCTGATTATTTCATCAGATTTCATCAGGCCATTGGCATTCCTCTTGAAATCGGTTCAGTAATGTCTACGTTTAAAAAAAAATACGGCAAAATGGATAGCTACTGTATCTATGAAGCCTGAAAATGAAATAATGGGTTATCCATTACTTCTTATATTTGTATTCTCAATTGATTAAGAGTGTTTTTTTTTATGCTCTGGAGCATAAAGTATAGTGTGTGTATATACTGTACATGGATCAAGGTACAAGAAGATAAAAATAAATGAAATTACAATCCGGTTCAGAAGTTCAGCTATGAGAAAGCTAGTCTGTGAAGAACAGGCATTTATTTTTGTTTTCTGATACTTTTATCATGGTGAGCATCTGAAGTTATTGCAGCACCACAACAACACAAACAACACTGCAGGTCAGTATTTGGTGAAGTTCAGCAGCTCTTTCTGGATTGCAGTGTACAGCAAGGCTCTCTGCTGACAGCCAGTATCTTTCTACCAGATCTACAAGAGCCACTGCAACACGCCTCTGTCAACCCTAATAAGGGATAATGAGCCATTCCTTTCTCTTTCTCCTCCTTTATTGACTTTCTAAAATTGAGCATCTGCAGGGTTCGCGACAGGTTGTCAAGCTTTTAAAGTCTAATATAAGACACTACTGTGCAAGTTTTCAAGCTCTATTGTAAACTTTTCACATCTGGTAATGAGAGACTTAGCCAGGCAGGTCCTAAAGAGGAACAATTTAGAATGTGCTTTGAGCTAAACCTCAGTTTAGTGAGATTCAACATTTATATTTTTGCCCTGCAAGAAAAACCACAATAAAACAGTCTCCTTTTAAAGGTGATTGTTTTGTTCAATCAAGTTCTGTTTGACTGCAGGCTGGGGAGTTTCTCCTTTTAAAGATGGTAGATTAGTGTGTGTGTGTGTGTGTGTGTGTGTGTGTGTGATTCTGTGGGTTAATCATAAAAATAAAGTTGCCGTGAGTCACTTTAATTTTTTCACGTTGGGATAGATGCATGTTTGTACTGTAGGGGTTATGGAGTGCTCACATTTATCTGAAACTATACGTCATTGGTGAGTTTTAAAGTGGGCAGCATGGTGGCACAGTGGTTGGCATGGATGCCTCATAGCGCTGGGGCCCTGGGTTTGACTGGGGTTCGACAGGAGTTTCTATGTTCTCCCTGTGTTTGTGAAGGTTTCCTCCCACAGTCCAAAGAATTAATGGTAGGCTGGATGGTACAGTAGGTTGAAATTGCCTCTGGTGTGAGTGTCTGTGTGTCTGTCTTGCGATGGACTGGCGCCTTTTCCAGGGAGTACCCCCCCCCCCTTGTGCCCGTTGCTTGTCGAGATGCTGTCAGCTGCTTCAGGTTCCTCGGCCTGCAGATCTCCACCGACCTGGCTTGGACCCGCAACACTGTAGCGAATCTGAAAAAGGCACAACAGCGCTTGCACGTTCTGCGGTGCGTCAAGAAATGTGCTTTGGGGAAGCAGTTCCTCATGAACTTTTACCGCCGCACCATAGAAAGTGTCCTCACTAGTGGCATCACTGTGTGGTACAGCAGTACTACCGTGCACGACAGAGATGCACTACAAAGGGTTGTGGAAGTGGCACAGAGGATTATAGGATGCAGTTTACCATCAATGAGATCCACACCATCCGCTGTCGCAGTAAAGCCCAATCCAGGATCCCAACCATCCCGGCCACAAACCGTTCTCCCCCCTACCCTCTGGCAAGCAGTACCGCACTGTTAAAACACAGACCACTAGACTCAAGAACAGCTTCTATCCCACTGCAGTACACATTCTTAACAGCTGACTGCAGGGCCTCAAACTCCATACACATCTGCACTCTGCACTTTTTAGGTGGTCTACCCTGTATTTTTTCTTGGTCTCACTACTACATATTTATTTTTCCACAATATATTTATTGTTACTGTTGTCTACATTGTGTTGTGTTGTCTGTTGTACTGTGTATGTCCCGACAGTTCAGGGTGATTAAGAATTCCAATGTACATTTACGTCATATGGCAATAAACTACTCTGTAGCTTCCTCGAAACCCTGAATTGGAAAACGCAGTTAGAAAAATCATGAATGAATGGAAGTCCTTATGCGTAGTAGTAATGGCATTAGTTTAAGCAAGTGCAGAACACATTTTAAGCTGATGAGTGTTCATGTTCTGAATAGTTCAACAGGTTAACATAAGCAAATCAACATAAGGTCTTCTAGATTAAAAGACCTAGTGCTTAGTGGAACCTAGTGGCACACGTGGAATCATACCAAGCCTAAGTGCTCTCATCAAATTGTATTGATTTCAAAGTGTATGGCAGATTAGCTGCCCTTCAGTCTTTTGTTACTAACACTTGTTTCCTTTATCTGTTTTCAGGGCCTGATGGTGTCCCTGCTGACTGATTACAGCCCCCAGACCCCAAAGCCCAAGTTCTGATCCGGAGGATCCAGGGAATGTTACCATTACTTGGAGGCAACATACTGTAACAGAAAGAAAAATAAAAACATGTTCTTGTAGGCGTTTCCTGCTAACAGTTTAGAAGATAATAATTGTGTTTTGAAAGGCATTTGTATTTTTTTCCCATGTTCTTTTTGTGTTAGGCTGGAACAAGAAAGGCCTCTTCTCACCTGTTAAGCGTTTCTTTCTCTTGCGTTCCAGAAGGGCCCATCCCCAGTCCTCCCCTGTTCCAGCAGGACAATGCCATACCAAACTGTGCTAGAGCTACGAAGGCACAGATCTTCAAACAAGGCTGCCTTAACCAGCATTGTTTCCTGACCTGAGCAGAAGCTGTTTGGCCTACATGTCTCAACAGGAGACAACTGCAACTTGCACAACTTCAGCACGTGCCTGCAGCAGCAGCTCCGGTCTAGGGACGGAACACCCCACGGTGGTCTGTCACGATACGAGTCTGTCCAGCAGTACTGCCAGGATTGTGTCAACTCTCAGGCAGGTCATATCCCGATTCCGCTTTGTTAGTTTTAAGTTATTAAAACGTGTTGTTATTCGTTGTTCTGTATTTCTTATTACCCAATATTATTTTATGTATGTTTAAAAATGTTGATTAAATCTATTAGATCTGGTGTTTCATTTCTCCTGTGCATCAATATCTATATAAACTGTATATTATCAGTTCTATAATACTTTAATGCACAGACGCATGGCAGAATTTAGTTATGCTGCTTAACATCACTGTTGGAGCTATATACCTGTGATGCTTGTTTTACACTAGGTTGCAAATGCTGCCTAAGATTCTGTCACATTCCTCTTGTAGAGCCTAGACAAGCCTGAGCCCTAGGTGCCACACATTGTCATGAACTGTCCCACAAATGTCCACTGGTGCTGAAGTCTGGGCATCCACGGCATAAGTGTCACGTTTTCATCTCCCAAAAAAGTCAGTGCTGTTAGGAAGCTTCAGGCAGTGCATTACCACATCTTTCCAGTAGGACATCGGGCTGAGCCGGCAGGAAGGCAGTGGCTCACTCCCCAATGGAGCAGTGCAGTCAGATTCCATTGATCACTATAAGTGGAGTTCAACAGTTGCTATACCCTTTTGTACAGACCACTCTACCTGATTTTCCCCATCAAATGATCTGTTGCCCACAGAAATTCATGTACAGTTGTGCACATCTGCACCACTCTTGCTGATGAATCAGCTTGGTCCCCGCAAAGCCTCGATTCATCACTAAAAAGGACATGCCTGGATTGCCGAAGAGACTACCTGAAGAGTCTCGAGCTGAACGAAGACTCGAGGATTCAGTTCATCACTCCTCATCAGCTCTCACTGCTGCTCAGGTTTCAGTGCTGTTGTAACAATTTGTTTGAGTAGAGCAAGGTCTGTCATTAATCGAAAAATAATCGGGAACCAACATGATATGCTTTATTTTAAAAAAAAAACTGCAGAATTTTTCATGCTCAGTACAGTATATATGAACTTTTTTTCCCCATAGTACGGGTCCTAATACTTAATATCTTTGAGTGCAAGGGTGTTTAAAAAAATAAGTCATAAAATACAAATAGGGGAGTAGTGCTGTTTTACAAGATTTCTGTTTTTTGAAATGTTGAAACTTTTGTTATAGATACCATACTTCATATACAATGACAGATTGTTTTTTTCTAGTCATTGAGAGTTTTGAAAGGCTGTTATAAAAACCAGTACATTAGAGCATCATTTCATGTTTCTCAGTGTATAGGAAACCATCCACACTCTTTGCCATAATATAAAAGATGCTGCCTTCCCCATCCTGTCATTACTTATTAATGTTATTAGATTATATTATTAGATAATAGCGCTTTAAAAAATGACCTAGCAGTAGGTCTGCGACTAATTAATGGCTTGTAGTGGGCTACTAAACAAAATCCGAACAGCAACTTAAAAGAAGGAAAATTTAAAAAAAAATCAAACTTCGCACTTAATTGTCACTCTTTGCACGTACTTGCGAAGTCCAGCAGAGGGCGTAGCCTAGAGGCAGTGCTGTGGTGTAATTCGTGTGTTCATTGGCCGAAGGGTCGGGGGCGGCTGCGCTGTGCGGGACTGCGGTGGATCAGCTGAGCGAAGCCCAGTGGAGAATCACAGTAACGCACCTCCTGTAATAATTCTGCACTTCACTTCAGTGTAGTATGGCATCCAGGAGAATGGAGACCAAACCAGTGATAACCTGTCTCAAAACACTCCTTATCGTCTATTCCTTCGTTTTTTGGGTAAGCAGACTCCCCTTGTTAAGAAATTTTCGTGTGCAGGAATGATTTTTGAAACGAATGCTTTACATTTTCCGCCACTTCGTCGTTTAATAAAAAATAAATGCACAACTGTTGTTGCGCGAGGCTATAAAAATAACAAGTGCATGTTTTTTTTGTGCTGACGGTGGAGGCATCCTTTTGGGTCGTTAAAAAGTCTATCAGTTCATTTAATGCCTTGGATTTGAGTATTTCTATTCCAAATAAGATGCGAAACGGGTTGTAATTACGTATTCCATTTCCTTTGGGATATATTCTTCAGGGGTGGACAGGGATGGTTCAGCATCAAGCGCATAATGCTTTGGAAAAGAAATTGCGTGTTATGAAACGTTCATATTTACGGAAATTATGCTGTTTTACTCTTGTGGTTTCGTTTCGTTTCGTTGACCTTCATATATATTAGGCGCAGAAACACGTCAAGTAGTGATTCCGTTACATACACAGCATCAGTTACTAGAAGGGCTTAAGTCGGGGGCTGTAATTAACAGCTGGGAAGAGAAAGCATAATTTTCAAACACTAACCTTTCATGTACCGTTAGCAGATTTGATGGTAAAAAATGCAATATAAAATAAGGCTAAAATGCGAGCTACTTTCTATCCGTGCAGTAGTCTGACCGCCTCCCGTACGATTTCGGTCATCTTAGCGGTTTACATAATATAAATGCGTATTACTGTTGCCTTTCAGACTCCTCGGACAGCAAAGTGTTTGATTTGAGATGGGGAATCATTCTGGAACATACCGCACTGACAGGCAGTTTGCACTACTGCAGATTAAACGGATCGTGCTTTCAGGAATGTGATGCAAATTAAGAGCAGATTGTTTCTTTAGCAGTTAATTGATTAAACCATTCAGACGCTGTGTCATCAAACAGCGATACCTCCTGTAAGGTAGTCTGACCTGGTTGTCTAAAGTACTGGATGTAGAAAACACTATGCTGGTACTGTATCTACTGTATCTTATCTAGCTTATAATAAAACAGACCGCTATCGTTGTTGAGATTGAGATGATAGTTGCCTCTCTTCGAGTTTTACGAACAGTTTCTACGGCCGTTCGTGGTGCCGTCTTGTAATCGTATTGTACTGTACCTCAAGGGCATGGCCGCAATGTTCCCACCTGGAATTTGAACCTGCAGCGATCTAGTCAAGAGTCCTATAACCACTGCTTCACACAACCTCTTGTGTATGGTCGCCATATGTTTCTTAAATATTTCACAAGTTTTTTTAATGTATTTCAAATAATAGAATTTACGGAGTCGACAGGACTCAGATTTGGAAAACGCGGGTTTAAAGAAAGGTGAAGAAACATGAACCAGATGGCTCAATTTTATTGGAAAGCACCTTTGAGTAGTTTGAGATGAGTGTTCACGAAGGAATAGAGAGACAGTTGGTGTGAGTCTTTTCTTCTTCAAATGTGACACGGAAGAGGGGGGTGAAATGTCTTTTAAGTATTTGTGAGGGGCTTCAATTTTAAGCTCTACTTTCAGGAGTAAACCTGTGAGTCATTAAGAGTTTAATGCAGGACAGTCGCCCCTTGCTGTAGGAGTGGCAGTACTTAGAGTCCTGGGTGTAATCAGGCACAGCTGGCCCTCAAAGGGACACACAAGCATAACAAGAGGGTGTCAGAGCCCAGATTTCAGGAATTGGAGAATATAGGTAGGCCCACATTGGGAATCAATTTGTGTGTGCAAAGGGCTGACTGCTTAACTTAAGGGAATACGCTGTCTGTATAGTAAATGCCCTCCTACAGTAGAGCAAAGCAGTAAAAATTGTAGCAGTAAGGTCTTTTTTAAAACATTCTATATACCAAAAGTGCAGTGAAATTTGATAGTCACCTAATATTGCTAGAAGCTGGTAGATATTGGTAGATAATAACTAATATTAATTGGTATACTGATAATATAGGTTGATAATAACTAGGGCTAAGAAGGTCTGTCTCATATTGTGGGATAACAGACCTTTGACACATTGAAAGGTGCATGGCGGAAGCTCACCAGGTCTGTGTAACTGCAGTGAGAGTATGGAGGGGTGCAGAGGGGTGCTGGTCATGTGGTTATGTAATTTACCAGAGAAAGGAAGCAATTCACAGGATTTCGTGCCTTTGTAAACTCAGTTTAATACTCAGTCTTTTATCCTGAATGGCGGAAATACATAACAGTCCCTTTATAGTCCTTTTGGAAAAACAAAAACGGCAACTTGTTGTTGATTCAAGAATATATGTATTGCATTTGATTTGACTGTTGTGTCATTTATATAATTAAAAGTGAGATCAGAGCCTGACAAATTGTCAGTAGGACGAGTGTGATACAGATTGTGTGGCAGTGTGAGTGAGGGTGGTTTAAACACTTCTAGAGTCATGTCAGTGATTCTAGCCAAGTTACAAGAAGCGATGGGGTAACATTGCTGAGGAGCTGTATACAGGACTGAGCTTTTGGCCAGACCTTTGCTGTTTCAGCAGCTGCTTAGAATTCTGACAGAATTCTTCCTGTTCTTATAATTCTCTGCTATGTCAGCTGTAAGACGACTTTATATAGTATACACCCGAAGAAGGCTCTACAGCTGAAACGTTGCTTTCTTTCTTCTCTTTTCAGCATGGAATAAATCTATTACTTATTCTTTTATACAGTATATACTACAGTTTTTCATTTGTAAGTCTGGAATCGCATGGAAGGGAAGTGGAAAACTCCAGTTTTGCCTTGCTGAACTAAACCGACAACATGTGTCATGTTTTCCTTGGAAAGGACCTGTTTTTAGGAATATAGTTATTTTGATTTGTGTCACAGCTTTTATTTGACTGATCCATTGGCTGTTTTTGTACATGGGGAAAGTGTTGTGGCCAGACAAAAAGTGTGCTGTTATCCAGGCTGACTTTTAATTTCCTAGACAGAAGCCCCTTCTCTGTACGATAAAGTGAGGCTTTGTACAGTAGGTTTTCTGGGTCAGTTGGTTGGTATTGTAAACATATGGTTGTCAGAAATTATATTTTGGAAAACATGCAGTTCAGACTGTGGCCTGTGTACTAGAGCCTATTACCCATGATGTTCTCTCCTAGTATGTTGTCTCGTGACCTGAATTTTCTACACCCCTTTTCTGCCGGATTGGGAATGTCTACCACATCCCACTTAAGAGCGCAACAGCATTTGACCTCGGTGCTGGGAATCTATGTTTATGAAGAGGGAACTTAATTAAGATTCATAGGTTCCTGTTATGAGGGCAAAACAACTTATAAAGGTGAATTAATATCTGTGAGAAAAATGTAATTGTCTTGAGATACAACATGTGGTATCTCACAATACAATATATGTATGTACACATGTACATTAATATATTATACCTACTGTGTAAACCCTTAAAACACAATAAATAGAAATTGATAAGGGAAGTCTGTTGTTACTGTTATCTTTTAAATCAATTTGATTAAGATAAGGTACAGTATATGCACCTGTAACTTTTAAAGTATTGTATATCCAAACCTATGAAGGAAGGTGACACAAAGGACACAAAGAATTATGATGTCACAGTACACTACAATGCCTGCCGCCTGACCTACAGTATGCTGCTGGCTTTTGGTGCCTTGAAAAATGAAGCAAGTGTGGATCTGTGAAATGCATCGTGAATTTAGTTTCCTTACTTGATGACATGTACAATATGCAAAATCATATCATGGTGACTTACAACAGGGACACTTTGTATTGACAGTAAAATAATAAATAGGGAAGCAGAATTTTTATATGCTGTAGGCACACCTGCTCCTAGAGGTAAACTGATAGCTTTCAGGGAAAAAGCAGAAAGATAGACTGGATTTTTATAGAGTCACATACTGTGATAGTGTTCTTGAAAGTAAAAACCCTGTTCTATATATAAACCACGAGACTCTGAAATCACTGCACATTCATTTTTACAGGGAATGTAGAGATTTCTCAATGTTCAGTACTGCACCTGTGATATTTTATTCTTAATTCTAAATAAGCTTGCCACTGAACAGCTTTTGATGCCCCCAAATTCTCTTTGAGAATGGGTATTTCACCAGTGGTTTTGAGTGGCTGTGGTATAAATTAGTAGAAACTAGTATGTAATTGAGCTTTCAAAAATAATTATTTTCAATTTTGCAATTAGGTTCTTGTTAATACTGTATATACAGTACTTCGCAAAGTTTCCACATTTTGTTGCTTTCAAATGTGACTTTCTTATTTAGAATTTATAAAATCTGCTCTAAAGCTGATAAAGCTAAAATTGTTGATAATCGGCAAATACTTTTTATTTTGAATGAGCCTAAATCAGTTCATGTGCGAAAACAATGGTTTAAAATGTCATCATGTGTGTCTAATGGTCTCTGCCTGTGACTAATCAAAGCGGTTTAACTTTACTTCAGAAAAATCACACCTGGCTCTGTAAGTTCCCTCATATACATATTCCCTTTGCTTTTCACATGATACAACAAATTGACCATGAAGACCAAGGAGCTTTTCGAAACGAAAGAGGGCGAAGTGGTAGAGGGGCACAGGTCAGGAGAAAGTTGCCCATCCCTTTCCGCACACTGTATCCATTAAGAAGTGGGTTGTGTGTCACAGTACCCAAACGCTACAGTACCTTCATCAGCCCTTTCGCTCTGTACAGGCAGGCAAAAAGCTGAGGGAGGATGAGATCACTGCTCATGCAGCAACAATATCCCAGTCCTAACACACACCTGGACTGATGGCAAGAAAGCAGTCTTTACTGGAAAAGACTCTGTCTCATTTAAGTTATACTTACATGTATGTGGCAGAAGGCTTTATGGTCAGATAAATACTAAACATTACAGCTGGTGCAAGCTCAACACAGCATACCCCGTCAACACCATCCCTACTGTCGTACATAGCGGTAGCGGCACAGAGATGCTTTTCATCAGCAGGGACTGGGCAGCCTGTCAGGATTGAGGGGAAAATGAATTATGCAAAAATAAGCGAATCCTAGAGGAAACCTTGCTT